TTGATGTAATACTCTTGATATACAATTCTGTTCATTAATCTTTAACAAAATTTAAAGTGCAAAGCTCATTATCTGGAGATTCCATTTATCGCACCAAAAAAAAAAAAAAAAAAACTATGAAGAAGCACACTTATAAAAATTAAGGGATAATATTTAAATATGAAATATCTCTGGTTTGCTCAGAGAAATTCTTCATCACAATGTTGTTATAGACAAACCTTGTACTCTCCAGAAGGTGGGTTCCCTCTAGCCCCCTCCACATACACCGTATTATTGGGTAGCTCATCTATAGCCACCTGCCTGAAGTCACACACAACATCAGGCAGGAAGTATTGTGCAGGGTCTCCGATTTCATACAGCAATTGCTCTGCTACAGTGCCTCTGTTGACAATACCACCAGTCTTCTGGGGCTTGCTTACAGTGAAGTTACCATCAGAACCAACTGTGACTACAGGGAAACCTATGTGGTCCCTGCATACAAAATCATTATAAATATAAGGGAATATGGCATTTTCCCAAACATATCAACCACAAAACATATACATTATGTACATATGACGCTATGAAACGTGTTAGAAAAGTTGAATGTCTTAATATCTTTTCAACAGCAGTGAGTGACGCTCGTTTATTATATATCCTGATATAGATCTACAAGCTGGATACAAATATCTTATGGCACACTTTAGTTAATAAACATTAAACATATCACATTTTAATGTACTCAATGTCGAGCTTAATGAAAAATCTGCATTGCACTGTTTTATTCATACAATTTACAAGTTTTCTTGGAAACTTGACCCCATCATTCCTAATTCATATTCTCCTTAATTAGGCTAACAGCTTTTAGCACAACAACATGCGATATTATTAAAGTATCTTGTAAAAAAAAAAAAAAAAAATCATTTTACAGCAGACAAAAAATACATCTATGGGTAAAATAAAGATTTTTTTACATTGTTGTTATGGTCACATAAAAATAAACATTTTAAATTAATTATTATGACAAGGAATATTTTGAAGCTTTTTCTAATTAATTACAACAAATAGTATATTTTCCCCCAACATGTTTTTTTTTTACCTACCATTCTTCAACAAGATGCCAGTCAGTGAAAATCCCCCCTGTGACTTGTGCACCACATTCAATTAAATGACCAGCTAAGCTGAAACACATCAAATATACACATTTAAATAGCATTCTTATTCAAATGTTAGCATCCATAATATTGTATAGTTTATTATTGAGAGCAACAATAACATCATATCTCACAGCATCATATAAATAAATAAAACTTCCTGTGTGGGTACACGACTAACCTGCCAGCAGCCAGACGATCAAACTGATCCATAGTCCAACCAAACTGTTGACAGATAGGTCATTTTCATATAAATCTAGATGATTATAAATGATAAATACTTTTAAAAAAATTGCATTTGATAACTTCCTAACATTTCAACAGCTCTTATTTAATGTGAGGTGGTTTTAATGACTTTAATGTTGTCCAGATGTTGATACCTATGTTATATCCACTTAATATGTTCATAATTTTCACGTTCATAATTTTTTTTTATACTTCAAATCTTAATAGCTTCATTAACTACGAACAAATGGCTAACTTTACCTCATGAATCAAAGGGGCTAGAGCCATGGCACTGTCAGCACATCTACCAGTTAGGACAATATCTGCACCCATAGACAAAGCCTGAGCAATTGGACCAGCTCTGAGTCAAATTAATAAATACATTTATTATATCTGTATTTATTTATTTATTAAGGCATTTTTATATAGCTCTTACCTTAAAGCTCTAAGCGCTTTACAATTATAAAAAACATGTAAACTAACTAATAAAATAAAAATGAGACATTAGGATAGTAACTACTATACTATAGAAACAATTAAAATGGCTATAAAATGAGGACACTTTGGCACGTTTTGGCCTATATTACAGGATTAACCCGAGACAGAACATGAGGCAGGGCAAGGAGGGTGCATCACAGGTCATAGGCGGACCTAAACAGGTGGGTTTTAAGGGACTTTTTAAAAGTGGACGAGGTTTCACAATGACAGATATGGAAGGGCAGCTGGTTCCAGAACGTGGGCCCATGGAAGTAGAAGGAGCGTTCACCGATGGTCTTAGTTTTGGTTCTTGGG